GAAGTGCGAAAAGACAATTTTGTCATAATATCAAAATAAATATGCCGAAATTTGTCGCTCGCAGACTGTCCCCTTCCTTGATTATCGGCTAAGTCAATGTAAACAAACTATGTAACTCAGAAGATGGCACTCAAGAAAGTAGTGCGTGTGCTATCTATTGTTTGATAGACTTTTATGCATAATTTCAAGTTGATTTTCAATACTCCCTCTCCAAACTATATAAATTTCCATTATATTAAATCATTCAACTAATTGTTATAATTTATTCACATTTTATGCTCTTCTAAATTTGGTGATGCAAAAAAAACACGGGGATCAACCAGAAAAAAAATAATTTCAAACAACAATCTATGTTAAATAGATTTCAAACAACATACTTTCCAGTGTAGAAAGAGTTACGCCCCGGACCAAAGAATAAAGAAAAAAAAATTTAATGTTAAGTTGCCTATTTTTAAAAATACATAGTTCAGTACTGCAAAACTGGATAATGAAACGAATTTCCTATTTATCAACCTTTACTTAAGACCAGTATTTAAATATGACTTGGCAAAACGTGAACTAAAATTCAGTGATAAAACAATTTGTGGTGAAGGATTGCATGTTGAAATTGACGAATCATAGTTTGGAAAAAGGAAATATAATGTTGGAAGATCTATAGTGGGCCAGTGAGTATTTGGGAGGATTCGGGAGAGAAGTGAAAGATATTTTTATGGTGCCAGTCGAAAAACGTGACGGAGACACGTTATTGAAAGTAAACAAAGAGTATATAACACCATGAACAACAATAATCTGTGATTGCTGGAAAGCTTACAATTGTTTAAATAAAGAACGCGACCAGCACTAGAAAGTGAATCACAAATACAATTTTGTTGATCCAGAAACAAAAGCACACACAAATACTATCAAATGAAAGTGGAGGGACACAAAGAGGAGAATGCATCAGTTTGGCTCGCACAAATACCATTTCATTAGTTATTTGGCTCGCATGATATTTTTTATGAAACTTCCTGAGCCAAACAGACGCCTCCATCGTTTTCTTTGAGCGGCAGCAGAGCTCTACAAGCCTTCTCCCTAAATCAAGTATTTATTTACCTTTCTTTAAAATTATTTGTTTAATACTGGGATATACAGCAATTAGATGGGTCTGGGGGTGTAGCCTTTCTTTTTTTTTTTTTTTTTTTTTTTTTTTTTACAGCTCCCACCTTGGGAGCACGGCAATCAGCTAGGGAAGCAATTGTAGGGGGGTCCGGGGGCATAGCCCCGGTTAGGAAAGTTTTTTGGTTAGAATGATTATCTTCATAGGAGTTTCATTTTTTAGGCAAGGGTTCATTCGTGCAACATGATGAATCTTCCAAGGCCAAATCTTTGCCCAGGTTTTCCCTTTTTTCACTTTCTTATTAAAGATGCAATTCTTGGCATGGGTTTTTCATTTCTACACTTTCTTTTACTTTTAAAATTACCTTGAAATATCCCTAAAAGGGTTATTTTTGTGGGAACATTCGGCTTGTCTTTGCGATAAACATATCTTCTTTACAGTTTTAAAATGAAAGCTTGTGTATGGTCACCCCCTAAAACCCAGATTCCCCATGTGTCCACCAGAATCGTAGAAGAGAGGGAAAAATATAGGGAAAAATGAACGGTAGAGGTTACGGAGATGGAAGCGCGTAGATAAAGAGAAATGGACACCGCCATGTTATAGAGCGGAAAAAATAGAGTGGGATGGAACATAGTATAAGTTGCACCGGACTTATATTTACCGTTAAGAAAAAAAAAAAAAAAAATGGCGGCGCTATGCGCCGCACAGAGACAAAGTCGAAATCGACCTTCTGCGGCAGTCATTTTTTTATGTCTGCATTTTCTATAAACACGTTTTCTATACGTGTCTAGTTTTCTGTATTTCCATTTTCTATACCCACGGTTTCTCTAAATGTCACGTTTTCTTTGCACTGCTTTCAACCGAATGTGGAAGCATTACCGATTACTAATATTTTAATCCATTATTTAATCCTATTTTACTAACATTTCCTCTCTTTCTTTTATGCTTATACATTTGAAGTATTGTTCTTTGTAATGTATATATTTTATGATTTATATTTCTTATCATAATGTAGATTCACTGTTAACAATGTAACAACGTTACTGCCTCTTTACCTAAATTGCCTCCCTTGTAGGATTTTTTTTCCATTACTTGAACACTTTCCGGTAAGCTCTTGACGTGTAAAGACCTAGCAAGTTTTGTGTGCAGTGACACATGTGGTAAGTTAAAGATATTTGTTTCAATGTTTGTTTATATTTATAGGTGTTTTAAAGACAATTGAAAAAATAGTGTATCTTTTATCATAGTTGATAAATTAGTGTTATTCAAACATATTTTTTACGGTAGGTACTGACAATTCGTGGAGGAATATGCCGGTCGCATGCCCTCATATCGGTAGCCCTTACAGGCCCCAAATGCAACGCCATATTCATGTAGATGCGACAAACCCCCCTAAATGATAATAGAAAAGTAGATGCAATCTCACTTCGCCGGGTACTTTGCCAAGCACATATTAAAAATGTTGTATCCGGCGGAGAATAAAAGATTTCATTAGTTCCTCCACGCCGCATCTTGTCTGCAGAGTGACGATATGAGTTGTATATTTTTTAATAATTTTTAAAATAAACTGACATCATGCGAATAAGCGGTGGGGTGGAAATTATTTTGATATTTTGTGTTCATTATTTTGGTTAGCATGACAACATTTTATATTTGTGAAAAATTTGTGTATCGGATATCGGGTTTGTACGCATTGCGAGTTGCACTTGTTTACTCGAGCGGTGTTTCATTCGGTGTCCGTCGGACAAAGTTTGGCTCGTTTTTTTGTATTATACGGCCTTTCTATTGTTGCCATGACAAATTTAGGCTTGTCTTTCATATAATTAAAAATTTTATAGATGTTTAATTGGTATGTATTTTATTTAGACATTTACAGGTTGCTATTGACATCGTGCATCCCCCCCACCCCGAATGGAGCTTCGTGAACTCGCTTTCTCCCCTTAATCCCTCCCCCCTTCGGAAATGAGTCTGCGAGGACCCCCTCCCCCTTGGGAGATGAGGAGGGGGGTTCCTCCCCTTTGGAGGGGGAGGGGACCTAATAATTTTTAAAAGAAGCAAGAATTTGACCAAAATATTTTTGCGCAGAGAAACGTTCCCTGCACAAACCATACTCTACAGTCTGGCTGACCGACACGTATAACGAGTGAGGTTACATTCCAAAAAGAAAATATACCTAATTCTGCCAGACTGTAAGAGTATTTTTCTTATGCGGGAAAATTACATTTTTTCATGCGTGGATACCATCATTTTGTCTACATTTGCGTGTACAGATCTGCAGACAGATGATGAAACAAGTGCACACAAAGGTTAAAAGAATTTTATGCGTGAAAAATTATTTTAAAAAGAAATAAGCGTGCGCAGAAATTACCCAGACCTACTTTTGTGTGGACATAATTTGACCAAATAATTTTGAGCAGAGAACTCATTCCCCACACAAACCAAATTCTACAGTCTGGCTGACCAACATGTATAATGAGCGAGGTCATATTCGAAAAAGAAAATATACCTAATTCCGATCTCAGTCCTGTGGTACTAGCCTATGCCAGACTGTAGAGTATATTTCTTGCACAGGGAATATTACATTTTATCATGCGTGGAAAATATCATTTTGTCTACATCTGCGTGGACAGATCTGCGGACGGATGATGAAACAAGTGCATAGAAAGGACAAAAGAATTTTATGCACGGAAAATGATTTAAAAAAGAACTAAGCGTGCGCGGAAAGTTACCCTGAGACCTACATTTGCACGGACAGAATTTGACCTAATAATTTTTGCACGGGGAATATGTTCCCTGCGCAGACTAAACTCTACAGCCTGGAGCCTATGAAGGCCAAGAGAGTTTTCAATTTCGCCATGGATATTGTTCCTGCACCGGATTTATACAAGTTTGGCTATTCGTCAGGCATACATGCGCACTGACTATTTGCGCGCAAACACACTAACGCATTAGCCTTGTATACAAACTTTAGCACTGTTTTTGTTCATATGTTCATGATTAAGGGTCGATCATCGATTCTGGATTCCTTCAAAGTTGGAACTGAATTTGCCAGTTTTGCTGATGTGAAGGACAGCTTGACCAAATTTCAAGAGAGCACTTTCACACAGTTTTATGTCAAAGATTCAAGGACTGTTGCCGCAGCTTTGAAGCGTACACTAGATAAGAGAGTAAATGTTATAAAATCCAGTGCCGGAACAATATCCACGGTGTTTCAATTTTCATACTGCACTTGTTTATTAATTTCAGTACTTGCAATAACCAACAAATTTCAATTATATTTGTTCTAGCATGAGAGTTTATTCACTTTCCTGGCAACTTGGTCATCCAAGAGACAGTAAAGCTAAATCATATACAGATTTATTGAGTCTGCACAGCACTCCATGATGTCCTACTTTGGAAAATTGACAAGCTGTCACTGTAAAAACTGTTTAGACTGAATTAGCACACACCATTTGACTTATTTCACACCTCCCCTGCTTTTCTAAATAAACATTTCAACCTCCTGCTTGTACCGTAAACAAACCGTGCAACACTTCCCACGAGCCACTTGTTTACATACCAATAGCTGGCCCACCATATGTAGCCCTGGAAATCCTATACCAGTGTAGATCAAAAGAAAACATATCCCACATTTTGCTTATTCTTCCGTCTCCCGATTTCAATTACAGCTGCACCACCTGCACGGCTTGGATGAAGACAGAACGACAAAAATTCCTTCGCGTTTCCTCTCGCCGTCTCCCCGTCTCCTCACGGGGCCTTTCCCTTACACGTAAAATCTGTTGTCCATTTTGCCCTTCACTCCTCCTCCCCCTCCTCGCGCTCGGCTCCCACGCCCTTTCCACGGCGCCCTCCCTTCCAAAACAATGAGAAATCACACGAGGGGAAAAAGCAAGGGAGAGCCTACCGGCGTTTCGTCCATGGCGTCCGTCACTGAATCTCACACTGATAGGCGTCCAGGTGCTGCTCTCGGCGGCCAGCGAGCGACGGCGACGCGACTGCCTCGAGCGGCTCGCGCTTCACACGCGGTGCCGAGGCCTCTTGGCGCTCGCGGGCAGGGGCGGGCAGCCTCTTACTCTTTAGGACTGGGGATCGCTCTTTGGACTGGAATTGGTCAGAACGAAAACGCAACTGTACATGAAATATTACCTATCTGTCTATATCTACGCTTTATATCTATATATGTTTATATGTAAACACACACACACAACACACACACACACACACACAACACCACACACACACACACACACACAAACACACACACACACACACACACACACATATATATAATATATATATATATATAATATATAATATATATATATATGTATATATAAACATAAATATTAATATAAATATTATGTTATAATATATGTATATATATATATTAATATATATATATATATATGTGTGTGTGTGTGTGTGTGTGTGTGTGTGGTGTGTGTGTGTGTGTGTGTGTGTGTGTGTGTGTGTGTGTGTGTGTGTGTGTGTGTGTGTTTCATATAAACATATATAGATATAAAAGCGTAGATATAGACAGATAGTTAATATTCATGTACAGTTCGTTTTCGTTCTGACCAATTCCAGTCCAAAGAGCGATCCCCAGTCCTAAAAGAGTAAGAGGCTGCCCGCCCCTGCCCGCGAGCGCCAAGAGGCCTCGGCACCGCGTGTGAAGCCGCGAGCCGCTCGAGGAGTCGCGTCGCCGTCGCTCGCTGGCCGCCCGAGAGCAGCCACCTGGACGCCTATCAGTGTGAGATTCAGTGACGGACGCCATGGACGAAACGCCGGTAGGCTCTCCCTTGCTTTTTTCCCTCGTGTGATTTCTCATTGTTTTGGAAGGGAGGGCGCCGTGGGAAGGGCGTGGGAGCCGAGACGCGAGGAGGGGGAGGAGGAGTGAAGGGCAAAATGGACAACAGATTTTACGTGTAAGGGAAAGGCCCCGTGAGGAGACGGGGAGACGGCGAGAGGAAAACGCGAAGGAATTTTTGTCGTTCTGTCTTCATCTAAGCCGTGCAGGTGGTGCAGCTGTAATTGAAATCGGGAGACGGAAGAATAAGCAAATTGGGATTGTTTTCTTTTGATCTACACTGGTATAGGATTTCCAGGGCTACATATGGTGGGCCAGCTATTGGTATGTAAACAAGTGGCTCGTGGGAGTGTTGCACGGTTTGTTTACGGTAAAGCAGGAGGTTGAAATATTTATTTAGAAAACGCAGGGAGGTGAAATAGTCAAATGGTGTGTGCTAATTCAGTCTAAACAGTTTTACAGTGACAGCTTGTCAACTTTTCCAAAGTAGGACATCATGGAGTGCTGTGCGGAGACCCATAAATCTGTATATGATTTAGCTTTAACTGGTCTCTTGGATGACCAAGTTGCCAGGAAAGTGAATAAACTCTCATGCTAGAACAAATATAATTGAAATTTGGTTATATGCAAAGTACTGAAATTAATAAACAAGTGCAGTATGAAAATTGAAACACCGTGGATATTGTTCCGGCACTGGATTTTATAACATTTACTCTCTTATCTAGTGTACGCTTCAAAGCTGCGCAACAGTCCTTGAATCTTTGACATAAAACTGTGTGAAAGTGCTCTCTTGAAATTTGGTCAAGCTGTCCTTCACATCAGCAAAACTGGCAAATTCAGTTCCAACTTTGAAGGAATCCAGAATTGATGATCGACCCTTAATCATGAACAATGAACAGAAAAACAGTGCTAAAGTTTGTATACAAGGCTAATGCGTTAGTGTGTTTGCGCGCAAATAGTCAGTGCGCATGTATGCCTGACGAATAGCCAAACTTGTATAAATCCGGTGCAGGAACAATATCCATGGCGAAATTGAAAAAACTCTTGGCCTGCATAGGCTCCAGGCTGTAGAGTTTGGTCTGCGAAGGGAATGTATTCCCCGTGTCAAAATTATTAGGTCAAATTCTGTCCGTGCAAATGTAGGTCTTGGGTAACTTTCCGCGCACGCTTAGTTCTTTTTTAAATCATTTTCCGTGCATAAAATTCTTTTGTCCTTTCTATGCACTTGTTTCATCATCCGTCCGCAGATCTGTCCACGCAGATGTAGACAAAATGATATTTTCCACGCATGATAAAATGTAATATTCCCTGTGCAAGAAATATACTCTACAGTCTGGCATAGGCTAGTACCACAGGACTGAGATCGGAATTAGGTATATTTTCTTTTTCGAATATGACCTCGCTCATTATACATGTTGGTCAGCCAGACTGTAGAATTTGGTTTGTGTGGGGAATGAGTTCTCTGCTCAAAATTATTTGGTCAAATTATGTCCATGCAAATGTAGGTCTTGGGTAACTTTCTGCAGACGCTTAGTTCTTTTTAAAATAATTTTCCACGCATAAAATTCTTTTAACCTTTCTGCGCACTTGTTTCATCATATGTCTGCAGATCTGTCCACGCAAATGTAGACAAAATGATGGTATCCACGCATGAAAAAATGTAATTTTCCCGCATAAGAAAAATACTCTTACAGTCTGGCAGAATTAGGTATATTTTCTTTTTGGAATGTAACCTCACTCGTTATACGTGTCGGTCAGCCAGACTGTAGAGTATGGTTTGTGCAGGGAACGTGTTCTCTGCGCAAAAATTATTTGGTCAAATTCTTGCTTCTTTTAAAAAATTATTAGGTCCCCTCCCCCTCCAAAGGGGGAACCCCTTCCCCTCCCCCTCCAAAGGGGGGTGTCCTCCAGGGGGAGGGGTCCTCGCATTTTTCCTAAGGGGGGAGGGGGGGGATGAAGGGGAGAAAGCGAGTTCACGAAGCTCCATTTGGGGGGGGGGGGCACGATGTCAATAGCAACCTGTAAATGTCTAAATAAAATAAATACCACTTAAACATCTATAAAATTTCTAATTATATGAAAGACGAGCCTAAATTTATGTCACGGCAACAATAGAAAGGCCGTATAATAAAAAACACGAGCTAAACTTTGTTCGACGGACACCGAATGAAACATCGCTCGAGTAAACAAGCGCAACTCGCAATGCGTACAAACCCGATATCCGATACACAAATTTTTCACAAATATAAAATTTTATCATGCTAACCAAAATAACGAACACAAAATATCTAATTCCCACCCCTCCGCTTATTCGCACGATGTCAATTTATTTTAAAAATTATTAAACAATATACAACTCATACCATCACTCTACAGACGAGATGCGTGTGAGGAACTAATGAAATTTTTTATTCTCCGCCGGATACAACATTTTTAATATGTGTTTGGCAAAGTACCCGGCGAAGTGAAATTGCATCTAACTTTTCTATTATCATTTTTTGGGGGGGGTTGTCACATCTACATGAATATGTCAGTCGTTGCATTTGGGGCATTTAAGGGCTACCGATATGAGGGCATGCGACCGGCATATTCCTCCACGAATTGTCAGTACCTACCGTAAAAAATGTTTGAATAACACTATTTATCCACTATGATAAAAGATACACTATTTTTTCAATTGTCTTTAAAACACTATAAATATAAAACAAACATTGAAACAAATATCTTTAACTTACCACATGTCACACCGCACACAAAAACTGCTAGGTCCTTACACGTCAAGAGCTTACCGGAAAGTGTTCAAGTAATGAAATTTTTTTTTCCGACATGGGAGGCAATTAAGGTAAAGAGGCAGTAACGTTGTTACATTGTTAACAGTGAATCTACGTTATGATAACGAAATTATAAATCATAAAATATATACATTACAAAGAACAATACTTAAAATGTATAAGCATAAAAGAAAGAGAGGAAATGTTAGTAGAAATAGGATTAAATAATGGATTAAAATATTAGTAATCGGTAATGCTTCCACGTTGGTTGAAAGTAGTGCAAAGAAAACGTGACGTTTAGAGAAAACGCGGGTATAGAAAATGGAAATACAGAAAACTAGACACGTATAGAAAACGAGTTTATAGAAAATGCAGACATAAAAAATGACTGCCGCAGAAGGTCGATTTTGACTTTGTCTCTGTGCGGGCGTAGCGCCGCCATTTTTTTTTTTTTTTCTTACAGTAAATATAAGTCCGGTGCAACTTATACTATGTTCCATCCCACTCTATTTTTTCCGCTCTATAACATGGCGGTGTCCATTTTCTTTATCTACGCGCTTCCATCTCCGTAACCTCTACCGTTCATTTTTCCCTATATTTTTTCCCTCTCTTCTACGATTCTGGTGGACACATGGGGAATCTGGGGTTTTAGGGGGTGACCATACACAAGCTTTCATTTTAAAACTGTAAAGAAGATATGTTTATCGCAAAGACAAGCAAATGTTCCCACAAAAATAACCCTTTTAGGGGTATTTCAAGGTAATTTTAAAAGTAAAAGAAAGTGTAGAAATGAAAAACCCATGCAAGAATTGCATCTTTAATAAGAAAGTGAAAAAAGGGAAAACCTGGGCAAAGATTTGGCCTTGGAAGATTCATCATGTTGCACGAATGAACCCTTGCCTAAAAATGAAAAACTCCTATGAAGATAATCATTCTAACCAAAAAACTTTCCTAACCCGGGGCTATGCCCCCGGACCCCCCTACAATTGCTTCCCTAGCTGATTGCCGTGCTCCCCAAGGTGGGAGCTGTAAAAAAAAAAAAAAAAAAAAAGAAAGGCTACACCCCCAGACCTTCATCTAATTGCTGTATATCCCAGTATTAAACAAATAATTTTAAAGAAAGGTAAATAAATACTTGATTTAGGGAGAAGGCTTGTAGAGCTCTGCTGCCGCTCAAAGAAATCGATGGAGGCGTCTGTTTGGCTCAGGAAGTTTCATAAAAAATATCATGCGAGCCAAATAACTAATATGGTATGTCGAGCCAAATAACTAATGAGATGGTATTGTGCGAGCCAAACTGATGCATTTCCTCTTTGCGTCCCTCCACTTTCATTTGATAGTATTTGTGTGTGCTTTTGTTCTGGATCAACAAAATTTATTTGTGATTCACTTTCTAGTGCTGGTAGCATTCTTTATTTAAACAATTGTAAGCTTTC